GTGTGTGTGTGTGTGTGTGTGTGTGTGTGTGTGTTTACATTACAATGCTGATATGATTTGTCCCAAAAAATTTAAGACAAAATAATTAAAGATAAATTGTTTTAGTAACAGCGTCTCAGCTTAGCTATTATAAGGCATTCAATAACCATGTGAGGKCAGATACATTTTTGTTGCTAATTAAAGAAGGCAAATGTTCGAGAGGGTTGTAAAATACTCCCACCTCGTTCCACAATCAATAAACAAATATCCACTTTTTAATTATTTATAATTCGTGTTGCCCGGGTTGAAAAATCAACCCGAAAGCTTTTAATTGACTAAGGTGATATTTAAGAGCGCACTTTATACAAAACTTACGGTGAGTTCTTACGTCACTGAAAGAAGACGGGCTTTACGTCAAAAGGAGGCGACGCACCCTTAGCTTTTTTTTTGCTGCTGAGGCCAGTGATTTCTTCAAATTTTAGCGACTATTTGTTTGTGTATATATTTTCCATCCCTACAACGTCTCCTTTGAACGGAGTGATGCACAAGTAGATAGAGAAATGTAAGATTTTTAATATTGTGTTTCACTGTTGGGTAACGCTTGTGTGTGTTCTTATGYTTTCTTCATGTTTGTGTTTTGTCGTTACAGAAATTAGCCATGTTCCACAACAGCTCACAGAGAAAATACTGGACTTTTAAAAGTGAGGATGAACTGGAACAGATGAGATTCAGTGCCAATGAGAAATTCCGGAAAACAGTTCGTGAAACTGGAAAGGTAAATGTAACAAAATGTGGCGTATTTGGAGTCCAAGAGCCTTATTACWCCACTCTGTTTATTTGTGAACCAGCCTGTCGGAATTAACGCTGTGTTCTTGGACCGACATGAGGAGGACGTTTTGTTTCGACACTATGAGAGGAGGATGCTCGACTTCTGCAATGCTTTTAAGCCTGCCATGCCTAAATCAGTCGTGGTASGTGGTGCGCACTTTCTCTGATCTCCTCACTAAAAGGCTGTGATTTTTGGAGAACTGAAGCACAGGGTTTCTCGTGTTTGCAGGGTGCAGCCCTCATGTACTTCAGAAGATTCTACCTGAACAACTCCATCATGGAATACCACCCCAGGATTATTATGCAAGTGCTACTCATTGGGAACTGGCCACATCTTTCAGATAATTAAAACAAACTGCAGCTCTATATTCAATTCTGCTTTCTACTGAAGTGGCACAAAATATAAAGCTGCAGCTTATTATTCAAACTTTTTATTATTTTCAAAACATTGCCATCTCAGTGTATTTACATTTATCAACTCAGGGTGTGGTAGTGATAATAATGTGGGACTTGATTTTGCAAGATATTTCTCATCTTTTGTGGGAAGTCAAGTTGATCATTACTAGCTGAAGAAATGTCAGGTTGGCATCTTTAAAAGTGAGAGTTTGACCTTTTTATTTTTTTTGTGCCTCATTCAACGTCAAATAAATGATCTCATCTTCATTCTGTAAATGTTTGTGCTGTTATTAGGCTTAAAGATGGCTCACTTTTTTTTATTCCAGGCTGACATGTGCATACCTGTCCTGCAAAGTGGATGAGTTCAACGTGTCCAGCGTCCAGTTTGTGGGCAATCTTCAGCAGGAGACAGCAGCAGAACAAGAGAGAGTCCTGGAGCAGATCCTTGGGTTCGAACTGCTTCTAATCCAGCAGCTCAATTTTCACCTGGTCATCCACACCCCCTTCAGACCCATGGAGGGTCTGCTCATCGATCTCAAGGTGGGCGATCTCTAGAGCGCGACGTTCACAACTCAAATTGAAATGGCGTTGTAGCGGTTGTTTCGTCTCGTCCTCTCTCACCTTCAGACTCGATACCCCATGCTGGAGAACCCAGAGTCGCTGAGGAAAAGTGCCGACGACTTTCTGACCCAGGCAGCCCTGACGGATGCAGGACTTCTGTTCCCGCCCTCTCAGATTGCTCTCACTGCCATCCTGAACAGTGCTTCCAGAGCTGGCATCAACATGGAGAGGTGGCTCTTTCATTCTTTTAAGTATATACGTGCGAGTTCACACGCATCTATATGCTTTGTCACTGGCGTAACAGTAAACACACTTGATAGATTTTTTTATTCCCCTTGCCTAGCTACCTGACTGAATGCTTGAAACTGAAAGAGGACAAAGAAACTCTTTCCAAGATGTACGAATCTATGAGACGTGAGTAAATTTCACTTTCCACTCTCCACCACAAGATGGCAGTGCTGAGCTTTTGAGCATTACTTCAGGTTTGCAATATATACATTTACTTGTTTTTTTTTTCTGCTGATGCAGGGATGAAAACCCTCCTCAAGAAGTACGAGCCACCTAAACTGGAAGAGGTGAATATTTACAAACAGAAGTTGGAGAGGATCCACGCTGAACTTGCCAGTTCCAGCAAGTAAGAAAATCCCACAATACTTTGTTTCACAGTGATGATTGTAAAGACAAGACATAAAAGTAAAAAAAATAAAATAAAAATATTTGTAAAATGTGCCAGCTCATATTAGGTTAGACATTTAATGCCTCTGTATAATTCTAATTTAACCTTACACTATCACTGTAGCACAAAAGCATTTCTGCAATCAGATGTAAATTTTGGGGGCACTCATAAAAAAAACACCAGGTATTCATAGTTATATAGTAACAGTTTTATTTCAGCCAGGTATCTAAGATGCAAAAGGTTCAAGGTTCAGTCTCAGGTAGAAAAATAAAAAGGAATACATCATTGTCAGCTGTATGAAATACAGAAACGCTACACTACCACGGAGCATCTCTTATACAGGTATAGCTGTTGAGATTTATTAGGTTGTTACGCATCCATCCACAGTTGTCTATTAACACTCGGTGAGGTCCGTGGTATCTTTTTTGAGTGCATCTACAGTAAACAGTTTGGTAAACTTCCGAGCTATGACAGGCACAGATTCAAACTCTGCAGCTGCTCCAAATCTTTAAAGGAGGTGCGCTAGGCCCACCYGAACCACTCTGAAGTGAAGAAAATCTGTGCGTGGCATGAATTTTCTGAGCAGATCTGTGTGTGGGGGGAACAGTCGGTGAAGAGGTTTTGCTGAGGAAACCACCACCTGTGATGGTGGCAGAGCATTCCGAGACTGCAACGTATCAAAGCTTCTTTTTTTTTTTTTTTGTTTACATCTAAAAGGCAATAAAGGGAGTTCAGGTGATGGTTGTTAAGAGCAGCATATATGTAGGCCCACACACTTAGCAGGATCYGTTCACGGTGAACACATGCACAGGACAGGTTACAGTAACTTCTGGACTCTGCTTTTCTGCTAGATCGTACGCAAACCCAACATCTCTTTACAAGCCGAAGATTATCATTTCATCATACAAAAGCAGCATATAAAAAAAAGTTTAATAAGTGGATTACATGCCGCAAGGAGATCCATACAAGWATTCGCAGTGATCTGGAAGGAGAGCTATTAAAAAAAAGAATCAGGCGTCATAGGGTGAGATGGTGAGTAAAAAGGAAGTTAAGGCTTGTGTTTTGGAAAGAGGTGCTATGTTTAAATTCCCTGATGACAGCAGAAAATGCTACRTCAATGCTTTGGATTCCCTCCTCTGTAATGTCTCGTCTCTGCTTTTTGTCTTTCGGAGAAGCTGAACAGAAAGCCAGTTTTGTTTCTTTTACGTTAACCACCAAACGTAACCACTCCAGACTTAAGATGGAGCGATAGAAATATCAAAGTTCAGACATTTCTGCAATACATCTGAATGTAGATCAGCTCTTTGAATAAAATCACTGCAAGGTCTCCCATGTCAACAAGGTCTCCCATGTCAAAGTTCAGGACACTGTAGGTGTAAGAGATTTTGGAAAGGGCTTTTTGGAGGAACAGGATTCAGATATGCAGCAAGTGTTGGGTTTTTTTTTCCCAGTTCAATAAAGAACAGTCATATTGCATGTATACTTCCAGRATATTAGGCCACATGCTCACAGTACAAACTCTTTAGTCTTCAGTTTATGCACCTCAGGGACCGAGGCCTCACTTTGGCTGGCCGGCTGCTCTAAAAGACTCGCAGGTGAAAATCCCCCAAACTCACATTACCTGGATGGCAGCAGCCAGTGACATGATGGTGCACTCTGTCCTGTAAGATAAAGTGGACATATTTGTGAAAGACAGGTGCTGAAAAGTCAATTTTACTGTCAAAGAAAAAAAAAAAGCCAGTGACATTTCTCACTACAAGTAGTTCAAACTAGTCTACATGTACATGGAGAGGGAACTACTATTACTAATGATCAGGACAATGTAATGGATGAAAATCCATGTTGGTTGCATAAACATTGACAAAGTTCACCAGCAGTTGCGATTTGCAAAAGTTTTTTTAAACTAAACTATTTTTCTTTTTTTTTTACAGCAAACGAAAGAGGGGATATGAAGAAGACGGTCATGTAACTAAAGAACCTCGTTTGGCTGAAGCGGTAAGAAACTACTTTCATATTTCCTTTAGGCTTTTTAGAAGATATTTATATTTAATCTGTTTCATTTCAGGAATGGAGCGATGAAGACCTCATCTGAGTTTTATGTCGTGGAATCAGGCTAAAAGAAATGGCTTGAGTTCAGTATTTTTGTGCACATGTGGTTGCTCTTTTTTTGCTGAGAGAATAAAACTATTTTTCTATCGGATCCTGTGGTGTATTTTCCTTTAAACATAATGGTCACAAAATATGTGCACACTTATTTTGCCGGGGCAAAATAAACAACTCTGTAATCTAATTTACAAAAACTGTTTAATAAGTGCACGCATGTCTGTTATACAGTCTGTACGACTCAGAATTTAATGATGTAAACATTTTACTTATGTGTCCTGTCTGGCAATGAAACGTAGAAGGAAAACACACACACACAAAAAAAAACCTTTAACCCGATAATCAAATAAGGCTGATAATTATGACCAGACATTTTCAGTTCATCTCACTTATTAACTCATGATTCCAGCAAGAGAATTTATTAATATAAAATAACCATTTTTTTTCTTAAAATACTTTGCTCCAATCTGGAAAACAAAGTAAAAAACAAAACAAAAACAAAACAAACAAAAGAAAAGAAAAGACAAATGCTTCTTTCAGCACTTAGCAAATATTGTCACAACTTTAAAATGAAGTTGCTAATTACAGTATAAAAAGCATTAACGCTAGAATCCAGTTACCAGTGAAGGGCGCTGAGAGAACTTAGCTTCTTCATGTCAGTTTCCTCATACTGAGAAGGAAGTGTTGGGGGGGCACTTTGGCAAGATGTGCTCAAGACACAGTAGGTACAAAGAAACCTGCTGAAATGTTAACATTGGGCCCTCATGATGAAGGAAATCAAATGTACACATGTCAGAGTCCATGGGTGATTTTTGCTTTGCAGCTTTCAGTCATCTGATTTTTTTTYYYYTTTTTTTTTTTATTTTAAGGCCTGCTGCTGCTGTTGCACAGCTCTTGCGGTGAACCAGACAAGATGACAGGTGTGGGAAAGGGTGGGAGGGTCTACCAAAGGAAGACATGATGGAGAGTGGTGGATGGGGTTGCCATGGTGATGAGGGAAGAGCATGCTACGTCTCCTTGGGGCTGCACTCCGAGGGGAGGAGGTGGACTGACGAAAAGGACGGGGAGGTGGGAGGAGAGGAGTGCAGTACTACCTGTTGCTGTTGGACATGGCATACTGAGTCTGCTTCTGCTGGAGGAGCTCTGTGATGGCCAACAGCTTTTTTAACACATGCTGGGGAAAAAAAAAAAGACGTTTTAAGACTCGTAGAGCTCGAAGTGTGGCTGTGATTTGACGGTTTCTGACCTGCTGTGCACCCTTCTCGTTGCTCAGGGTGCGGAGTTCAGCCGAATGTGCTGCACAGACCTCGTGCAGCGCAGCTAGGTCCCGAGATAGGTCTGTCGTAAAGCTTTCTGTGTCTTTMGGGAGCTCAGGAACATTCTGCAAAACACAATAGATGGACTTTTATTAGCTTATTCAACAAACATCGTAGCCTGTATTTATGGTGAACTATTTTTAACAACTGATTTAAAATGTGCACCAGTCTACAGAACATAAGAAAAACAGTAAATATGAGTAAACAGAGCTWTTCTTCCATTTAAGAAACAACAAATGAAACACACCCCTAACTCATCCAGAAACATAATCATCCGGTGTTTGTTGCTTTTGATGAAAGGGTTGACACCCTCCATGTAGGGTTCCTGTTCAAACAAAAAGGAGAACAAAACTAATCAAATGGCAACAATTTCCACAATAAGCTTTGCAAMATAAATAATAAAGCTTAACTGGATGATTTCAGGCAAAAAAGGTTCAGACCTTAGCACCAAATTCAACTAGGTTGGCCAGATTCTGGACAGACTTGGCCACCAGTGTGAGGGTACGGCTTGCTGTTGAAGATGGGGGGTCTGTTTAAAACAAAAACAAGAAGAGTAAAACACAATAACGTGGCTTTGAAGGCAAAAAGAATGAAAACATTTCCAACTGATTTTTACCAGCAATGATGTTGAACATTCTGGGGTTGAGAATGGCAGGGCAGATCAGTCTGAGAAAGACAAAGCCACTAGTGGAGAAAAAAAACAAAGGTAAGGCTCAATTTAGCTTTTAAGTCTCAAAGTCTGGACCTACAGTGTGTAAGTGTTTAGTTACCTCACAACTCTCGTCCGCATGGTGGTGTTGTTTGGCCACTTCTGTTTCACAGACTTCTGCAGGCACCCGTAGATGTACCTCAATGTCCTGTTGCAAAGGACATTAAATTGTTGAGTGAGATCAGAATCTGAAGATGTGATGTACGGACAAAGTTTGTTTWGGTGTTAGGAGCGTACGCCGGGAGGATCTCAGCAGCCATGAAGATCTTCTCCACCAGCTCAGACAGAATGGTGAGAAGATGGGATAAGTTCATGGCCACATCCTCGTTCTTTTCCAGTTTGGAAGGGTTCAACTGAAAAAGRAAAAAAAAAGACAGATGAGAGGGTGAAGGTAAATTAATTTGAACTTATTCTGTTTTATGATTAGTGACAAATGATTTTTCTCACTCCACAAAAACTGCTGATCATAACAGGCAAGCATTGATTAATCACATGCAACACTGCTAACCTTTTAAGCTATCAGCTGCTCCTAAATGCATTTGCTGTATTTTGTTAATTCTTCTTAAGGGACAAGTATACTCGATCCGAAGCGAACAGTTGACATTTGTTTTCACACAAMTTTTATAGCCCCTGAGACACACCACGCTAAGTCTCTGAGAAATCCCTCCCGCTGCGGTACACATCACTGCTCTGGGTTTCTTCTCCCTGGAGTCTACGCTCCAATATCTGCTGTTATTTGTCCACAAATCTGTCCCAGTTAAGGTGCCACAATTGGCAGATGGATTCCCTTGTGCGTGACGTCCGTTTTAATTTGCATTCATTATTTTTAGGCCGTTTGATTATCTTTATAAATGTCTGCTTCTGGGTACAAGAGTCAGTGTCTGGAAGCGAAGTTCAAGCAAAATGCAGCATCTGAGCTCTTTCAGCATAAACAAACAAGTCCACAAACCTCTGACCAATAACATAATCCTTTCTTATGTGGAGGGGGATGAAAAGTTCTCCAGATGGGTTGCGACAAGAAAGGGGTGGACGACTCAAAACAGCAAACAAAATAAGATTTTCTGCACGCAATTGCGATGACGATAGCGGGTTTTGGCAGTTCGGCTGGAGCATGTGGAGGCCTTTAACAAGTCATTACAGTAAAATACGTGCAGTTTTGTACCTCACAGGACTGTTTGCTTTCCATGATCTTCAGGATTGTGTCTTTGAGTGCATGGTGGACAAAGGGTGTGGCTGTGGCCTTCATGTACTGCTCCATCAGTGTGCTGGCCAGGGTGGTTGCTCTGAACAATGTTGTGGCCTCATCTGCAAACAGTGCACAGGAAGATATTATCCAAATATAGCTGCAMAATGTCACACATGCTCATGAGCTAAGGTCGCTCAAGACCTCACATTAAGGACTGTTTGAAACGCTATGCTTGATTTGTTTTTTTATTTGCAGAAATCTGTTTGATAGCTATCCTTGTTCTTACCCTCCATCTTAATTTCCTTTTCGTTGAGCTTCATAAGCAGGAACGCTTCATCCTTCTCATGTCGAAAGATTTTCAAAAGGAGGCTTGCTAGTAATGTACGATCCTGACCACAGACATTGGCCAAAGCAAAGATTACATGGAAGTCTTTCTGCAAGATCATCTGTAGAGCACATAAAGAGCATTTTAACTCAACAATCACGCTGGACAGGTAATAAAATATATTGCAATCAAAACATTTTTCTCAGTGAATCAAACCTCTTTGAATTCGCTGTACTCTTCTTCAGGCATTATCTTTTCCATGGAGTATCGGGCACGTACACGTAAGGAGCCTGGCTCGATGCCCTTCAGAGGAATGTGGGAACTCAGAGGGAACCACTCATCAATCATCTGACCCTTAATCAAACGATGTAGCTGGCAGCGCATAAACACTGAGAGAAAAAAAAAATTTAAAAGTGGGTGGGGGTACAAAAAAGGCTGTAAGACAAAAAAAACAAAAACCTAAAAATGGTATTATATTACATTTACAGTTGTACTTACAGATGTCATTTTCTTTGCTCTTTTTTGTTTTGTTGCTCAGACTGATTTCAAATCGGTTTATTTCACTTGATAAGTCACTGAAACAAGAGGAGTACATTTTGTAATTCAACCAAACATAAAATATTGAAATAAACAAGCTGGGTTGATGGAAATGGGGAGAGACTGAATGAAGTGCACAAGGAAAAAAAAACAAAAACAAACACTTACTCAAAGTTGAACTCCTCAGTGAAGACAGGATTTTGTCCTTCTCTTGGGTGTGTCTTAGCAACCTGGACACTGTTCAGGTAGATATTACAGTAGGGATTGGTGAAATACTTGATTGGCAGCTTGTGGGCCTCCTCTACATAGAGCATCAGACTGCTCACCTGAGAAAAAAATTCAGCAACAAAGACACACATGTAAAAAAAAGACTAATCGTTACACTGATTGGTTTTAATAACACAACATTTTATCTGTTTTGGGTAAACAAGTTTCCTGTCTGACCACTCCCACGTCTCATTGCAATATTTCAACAAGTTGCTAAACCTACATTTAAAAACATATCCTTCGGTCCGTGTTAAACTTCCAAATTCTGCCGTTAAAAAAAACTGTAGACTTCATTCTTGTTTTTTGCTGACAACGCAATAAATCCGGGGATATTGTGGGCAAAGTAGGATACTCAAATGCAGCCTATGTTTCGGGGTTTTGTCAGCTGCATGAGTAGGCCTCGATGGATTGAGCCAGCCTACAGTGTGGTGCAGTGACGTAAGCAGATGACAAATACACCTTATGGAGTCTGCAACCCATCATTTGAGGCAAAGCCGGAGTCTCCCACATGTACTGAGGTTTCAGCATCTCTCAACAGCATGGTATGCTTAGCTCTCAACCCTTAACCCTATTGATCCTCTGCCCACTCCAACTTTGGATCATGATATAGCATCATATGGGCAATAAAGACATGAATTACTTAAACACTCACCTGTCTAAGCCTCTTGTTGGAAGTGGGTACTGTAGGTTTTTTAAGGTTACTGCAGAACGTCTGAAGACATGTCATCCAATCCTGCATGAACATAACAGGGTCACAACTTCTGTAGGGCATAGTAAGGTTAGCACTCTGCAGAAACCAACACCTTAACCCTTCTGCAGAAACCAAYACCTTAACCCTTTTGTACCTGAAACTGGAAAACCTTTCTGAGATCCAGCAATTAAACTGGCAAAAGGAAGGCATGTATATTTACATATATGTTAATTTCAACCAAAAGCAAAAGGTAATCTGATAGACAACAAAGACTGAGAAGTATATAAAGATCTTAGTTTTTCACCAACAATGTGGTTTCTTTCTAGTTTTTGCTTCAGCTAAGATTTGATGTAAAATAGTTCACAAAAAACACAAACATTTGCTAATCAGCATCTTTGGGTACATCTCTATTTGCAAAGGCAAAATAAAGAACTTGTTCCTGGAAGTGATTAACTGAAGTGCCAAAATATTACAGAAAGAGCCAATCAGATAACTTCATTTCRCGGCATGATTAGGCTTTGTAACAGTGAAGGAACACCGCCATCAAGTGGTCAACTTAGTCCAACAAAATTGATACAGTATGACACTGTCAAAGTTAATAAAATCGTTCAGGAAGGAAAAATATAAAAAGCGTTTTATTACCTGTGCCTGCTCTGGSGTTTCTCCCGCAAAATAGAAGATGTACTGTTCCTCACTAAAGTGCTGGACAACGATCTGGAAACAGTTTGGCCTGAAAAAAATTAAGCAGGTGAGACTATTTAAAATTGAGTGGTACAAGCTCATGTTCAGACTACTGCTGTCATTTAAAGCTTAGACTTGAGTGCAGTTTACAGACAACCGTTCACATCSTACCTGCCAAACAGACTGTCGTGGACACAGTACACTGAGCACACACTTAGATCAATCAACCCTTTGGGTTTCGTAGCTCTCTTCTCACTTTCAAAATATATGAGCTGTGCATCGTTACCCTCCAGGATGAAGTAAAGGTTCTTCCACCTTTTGCCTTTTCCTGAGAGCAAGAGGAAAAGGTTATCAGCCTGACAGACCTGACAACAGAACAAGAYTATGATAATATGATTTGTGATGTGCTGGAAACTACAGTGCTGAACAAAATGTTACAGATACCTTTGTTAAACAGGAGATAGCCTTTTTTGACTATGTTTTTGTAGAAAGCATCTTTTGTTTTTCGTCTTATAGTGTTATAAATTTCTCTCCCATCCACTGTGTCAGTAAGTACTTGCTCCTGGTGCTACAGTGAATACAAATCAAACCATTACATATTGACTAAGAAAGCTAATAATATTAATTTTATACATTTAAGTGATTTTTTTTCCTGCCATAAATACATTTCTACAGTTTAGATATTCAATAACAAGAGTGAAATTTAATTCTAAAAATATACATTAATTTTTCACTCAACTTTATCTAAACATATGGTGCAGACAACAAGCTAACCCTTGGCAATGTCTGCATTTGAGTGCTGCCAAGAAGCTTATGCTGGCAAAAACCATTTCAATGAGTGAAGTTTTGACAATCACATACTCTAAAAATATTTGTTAGCTGGTGTGCTCACCTGTATTGAAACTGGTTCTTTTAGATTGTACCCCTCAACAATTTGTTCTTTCTTGTAATGGTCAATGATGTCATCAACACTGTCAAAGAAAACAAAAAGATTACTTAAAATGTGTTTAATTTACCGCTTGATAATTGTCACATCCTTGTTTCATCACCTACTGGTCCCATTGGCAGACATACCTGTTGTAGTACCTCCCCCCCATCATGTATTGATTGGTAGGCGTTGGGGAGATTTTAAACCTTTGGATATTCTCATTGGTACGAAAAAAGAGGGAGTAGTCTCCGGGTGTATTGTCAGATGGCCGCACAAGAAAGCTGCACACCTGACCAACTATAAATTGGAAATGAGAAAGAAAAGGTTATTCAAATGTTTTTTTTTGTTTTGTTTTTTGTTTTTTTTGTAAATGACCTTTATGACAAAAAACTAAAATAACTGTTACCTGTCATGAGAAGGTTATAAGCCTCGTTCTTGGTGATTTTTCCATGATACCAGCTAAAAGTGAGAATTCAAGAACAGCAAAACAAAAGAGCAAACAAGATAGTGTAAGAACATAAAGATGCTTTACTAACAAGACGTTAATATCTTTAGATCATATAGACTACAGCATATAGCCAAAAAGTCCCTTATTATCGAATAAGGTGTGTAAAATTATACAATAGAAAAATGTAACCAAGAATGAGGCAAGTTTTAAAAGTGAACATTTATATTGTGCTTTGTCATTTTTTTCAGCTGCTGATTCAGCATATTGCAGCTTACACTTTTCCCTCATGTGGATCCTCCTCCCGGCCCTGCAAAATACAAGACAGAAATCTGTCAAAACAAACTTACTGGCTTAAATCCAGTACACCAATACTGTTGCCACTTTGACACAACACCATTTAAGAACAATCTAAATTACATAGGTTTACTGTATAGTAATGGACCACTAATAAAYATTTTCACATGGTTTGAGATCCTYCTGATACTTACCACCTCTTCCACCAGGTCTTCCACAATGAGCCCTTGCTCCTCTGTGCGTACATTAGATACCCACATCCAGCCATCCTCCAGTTCATTGTGAACAATAAACATGTCCCCTTTCAGGAAGCTGAAAAAACAACAATTCAAAATATTATACACAGAGAAAAACCACTGATGTGACCACACATCAAACACACAACTACCACAGTTAAGTTGAAATTAATAAAGTTAGCTGACAATAGGTATTCTCAGCTAAATTTAGCTGGCTAATGCTGATTATAGTACCACAGTACAACCACCAGGTGTCTCTACTGCCATATAACACTACAGCTAGATCATGTATGTCTATACAGTCAAGCCTGAGGCTCTGCCGGCCCACTATGTTAAGGCTGACTTTGGACAGATGTTTATCAGATTTAGGAAATCGTGGATAGCTGAGCTCATCASTGAGTGTGCCTACTGCAGCTTAATGACAAGAACAAGACTGTCTTTCAATAAGTCAGATGATGTGCTTTGCAGACTGCTGTGTCCATTCACAAGAACCAGGCTGCTGTTTGTGAGCAACGTAGGCAAATACTTTATCTCTAAACCATAGATGTCACTGCTTGTTTGGGTCTGATTATGAGTATCAATGAGGAAAGCAAAGGGCTGAGGATAAATGTGTTATTTTCTGAGTGYAAAGCAGAAAGTTCAAATCCCAATCATAAAATGCGTACCTGATCTCATCAGTATCTGGCACTTTGGTGTAAGGAAGTATGGCCCTGACTCGCCTTCTGTCCTCCACAGGCTGCCAAAACATACACACATTCAGAAATAATTTCACACAAAAATATCTAACTATTTGACTAAATAAGATGTGGCAACACAACTGGAACACATGAAACCAAAAAATAATAATAATAATTATTATTAGCTTAAAAACATTTTTTCCCCTACAATTATTAAATATTTAACGGCTTCAACTCAAATCAGATAGTGTTAGTTAAAATGTTAAACATTATGGAAATTGTTTATTCTGAAAAACAAATGGGATTAAAAAAAGGAAAGAAAAATATTAACCCAGGCTAATCTCACCTCAGGAGGGGCCACCGGTGATAACAGTTTCTCATTTTTTAGTAGGCAAGAAACATAGCTGTAGTAACCGATCAGGTCCGATAAAGAGGAGAACCGCCGACCACCAATGTAATAGTCCCCACACATGGCGATTATCCTAAAAGAGTAAAGAAAAAGTGACAGCAACATTATTAGCAAACACAGACTAAACACTTTGTGTTGATTGTAATGGAAAATCTTAATAACACTAWCCCTTGAAACCAAGTCAACATTAGTTTTCCATCATTGTTCCAACAACACAAACAAAATAGCTCATAACTTACAAACTAAACTAACAAGGAAGACATTAGATGTTTATTACAACACTTTGATAACAGAAAGGAGTGAAAATCTATCACAAGATGGTAATGGTTAGCCAAATGTTTGTGTTACAACTTTTTATGGTCTTCGAGGTAGCAGGTTAACTGGCAAAAGCCCGAAACTACTAAGCTAAAACTGGGCATGTTGCCACCTGTTGTAGCTGGATCGGACCTACTTCTATCAATCTATTCTTATATTGTGTGCGTATGCTGGGACAGGAACAGCAGTCTGATAAAACTGCCAAGTCACACTGTAGATGGAGCTCTTCTTAACCGAGCATAGAATGGTAAAATCTGACTCCTATGTTTGGTATTTTCTAAAGCAAAAAATGTTTTTTGCTTTGGTGGGATAAAATAATTTAAAATGTTGACAAATAATTGTGTAGTCTAAAGATTTAAGTTTGAAGTTGGGCAATATACAAGAGATTTTTTGGCATAGACAGCACATCTGGAACTTATAACTGCTGAAAAATGAACTATTTATACATTCTATTCTTAGGTAGTTTAAACCTTTTATGTGTATATAATATAATGCATGTAGCTGTATATTGTAAAGATGAAGGGCCTCTCATTTTTGTATCTACACCTGTTATCTACACTTTAAAGACGGCATGGAAAAGATTCATTCAGCCCACCTCTAAAAATAAATACAAATTATTTTGTAATTTAGCCAGTAATCACCAAAATATATATTTTTTGGATAACACTGTCCATTTCTAGTCAACATTGTGCATGTTATTTATCTTATTTTACAAAAAGAGTTTCTGATTGTGTCCATAAAAGATATTGAGGAGGACATTATGTAAAACATTTAAACAGCTGATTCAAACTGAGCTTATTACTCAAGTAAAACATACCTGAAATGGTTGACCACATTGGTCACACTGAGAAAAGACAGGACAAAGGAACCGGGCCGGCGGTCACTCTCCCTGATGAGGTAGCTGCCAGGGTTCCGGGCCTGGCGTAAACGCTCCTCTGCGATGGTTCGGTCTAGCTTGCCATGGTACCACCTGAAAGAAAACAAATGGGAAAATAATCACAAGGGGCAGAATTTATGCTGTGACAAACACTGGCTTTTGTGCACAAACATATGGCTACTTAGGACAACAATCCTAAAGATGTTCTAAAATTTATTACAATGCAGTATTCTAGAGCCATTAAAAAGTACTTCTATACGGAATAAAAGAAGTGACATAATTACAAGGAATCACATACATGACAGCACATGGGAGGAATTTTGTAGACAGAAAACTTAAGAGGAGCAACAAAGATCTACTGTAGAGGCATAAAGTTCCTACAAAGTTAAAGTCTAGATAAATTAAACTAAATAAAAGTAGGTCAGAAACAAGAATATTTATGAAAAAGACATGTCAGAAAGCAGAACTAAATCGAAATTTGATTTTATATGCACAATGTATGTCCTTGAATCCAAACAGGAAGGACTCATAATTTACTGGATTGAAGGACCTTCAAACRCACAACAGTCAAAACAAAATTAGACAGCATGAAAAACAACCTAAGGGTCAGTTATGGTTTCCATCGCTTTAGCAGTCAATGTCAGGCTTCCAACTGCAAGACATTCAGGCACACTGCATATATCTGAACTGACAGAAAGATGCTTGACTTTAACAAGGAACTTTGCTTTCTGTCCAGGTTTTCTGCTCTATTTACAAATCAAAAAACTCGTTTATGTTGTACAACAACCAATCCCAGACTTCTTTTGTTCCTGTAAAAGCAATACTGTTATTTAGAAAAACAAAGACAACTCAGCATTGCTTACATCCAGCCACCCCAAATAAATMATCAATATAAAGTTCTTGTCATTTTCCATTAAGATTGTGGTTCAGCTTTTAGAATACCGGCAGCRTTCTGTTCAGCAAAAGGGATTAGCTTTTTCTTTTTTTTTGCCTTATGTTTTTTTCCCCATCCGGGCAATGCATATCCTAGAACTGTTGTAGCCAACTTTGTGAAGGCTATTTGAAATGCAATGAGACAAAAATATGCTTATGTAAAGTGATGTAGTTACAGTAAAAACAGAAGTAAAAGTGATGCAGTTGATCCTCCCTGAAAATGCAACTCTCAATGTCTGAGAACACTGATTATCATTAACTCTGCCAGTAATTATGAATCTAAAGCACACTGCATAAAGATTTGGTATACAGCGGGTAAAATAAGTATTGAACACGTCACCATTTTTCTCAGTAAATATATTACTAGAGGTGCTAATGACATGACATTTTCACCAGATGTCGGTAACAACCCAAGTGATCCATACATACAAAGAAATCAAACCATAAGTGTCCAGAAATGAAGTTATTTGTAATAATGTGG